AATTAATGACTTAATTATCTCAAAATTATGAGTAACTCATTAATTCATAAAAACAGAGTGAAATTTTTTTTTCAAGAAAAACATATCTCATAATTCTGAGATATTAACTCGTTAATTCAGAAAAACAGAGAAAAACCTTTTTTTCCATGAAAAATTATCTCGTAATTCTGAGATAATTCAACCCGATCTCACGACCAATTTGCACGAATTTGTACGAGTGGCTAATTCGTAACAATTCATACGACCTGACTCGTACAAATTTGTACGAATTTGTAGGATTTTTGCTAAATCGTACATATTTTACGAATTCCAAATTCGTATGAATTCATACGAATGACCTACCCCTGACCCCGCCCCTAAACCTACCCATCACGTGGGTTTAGACAAATCGTACGAATCCGTACGAGTTCGTATGAATTCGTACGAATTAGCCACCTTTTAATCATTCGTACAAATTCGTACGAATTGGTCGTGAGATAGCGTTGGATAATTAACTCGTTAATTCAGAAAAACAGATTAGATTTTTTTTCTCAAGTGAATGCAATACGCTTCCGTAAAAAACAATATGCTACTTCCAAAAGCTAATTTTATTGTAAGACCTGAAGTAAAAAAATACAATTGAAACTGTTCATCCACAGGAAGTTGATCTAAGCTGCGTTTTAAAATTGCATGTCAGAATTATGAATTATGTATAATTAAATGTTGGATCTCGTGTTTTTGTTTCTGCTCAGACATTAGCAGGGATGTCCAAACTCCATGAATTTAAAAAAAGAAAACATGCACTTAGTCCAAAAATATGCGATCAAAAGAGGAAAGATGAAGAGGTGCTTCAAGATGAGTTATCCATGCAACTTTTTAGCAACTGTATTCCCTCAGTCTACATCAAAGTCATTATAACGCTCACTGTTTGGGCAGGAACATCTGTGACGCACAGAACCGTAAGAACATGATGATAAAAAAGTCATGGAAATAAGCAGTAACGATCCATATATCTACAGTTCAAATGTTCTGGGTCTGTAGGATTTGTTAATGTTTTTGAAAGAAGCCTCTTCAAGGCTGCATTTTATTCGTTTAATTTCTATTACTGAGCAAACTTAGATTTTTTTCAAAAGTAAATATCATGAGGTGTGAATGAAATGAGATATGTGTAATGAGTGCTGAATGTCCTGCTCAACCTTTCTTTTTCTTTCATCCTCAAAACCTTCTCATTTTCTCCCTGGTCTTTCATTCCCTTTCACCTAAATTTGTTTCTGCTCTTTTCTTGTATAAAGCAGTCAATCAGTTGGGTTTTCATCCCCTTTTCTCTGTATTCTCTCATCCTCATTAAAATGTAAATGAGTTTGATTGTAGAGCGCTAAACACCAACTGACTTGTAACCTTATTGATTTACATTTCAATATAAAAGAAGAGAGAAAAGGCGAGTCAACGCAGGTGAGAAACCAGAGATATTACTTTTTTTAACAAGTGTTCTGGCTGTACCATCATAATTATGAAAATTCTTTGTCTTTGTTCTTTTTGCACCTTGACATGCAAATCAAAGTAGGATTAGTTCCACTTCCTCAACTGCAATTAAGCCGTTTTTTTTTTTTTTTTTGTAGGTCTTTCCGACAGTTGCCTCACATTAATAGAAACATCACAAATGAACACACTGGGGACTTGCATACAAATGTGAAATAATGAAGAGTTATTGCGTTTTGTTGGGGCTGCGTGTGGTCACTCTCACAGGTCGATCTGTGGTGCTTATACGGGAACGTGAGTTCGAATCCGGCTCATGACCTTTTAAGGCAGTTGTTGTTGGTTTTTGATCATATATAGGGTTAGCGATAAACAATAACCATAAGTGTTAAACTTCGGTGCATTACACGTCCAATTATAGCTGAAATAATGCTGTTTGTTCACTTTTAAAAATAAAGGTTCCAAAAGCGTGTTTTCACAGCAATGCGAGACAAGAACCGTTTTGTGTTCCCCAACCTTTCAGTGAACCGAACCTTCACATTCTTAGGGTATTTACACAACAACAGTGTATTAAAAACGGAATTCAACTTTAGTTTTTTGCAAACAGACGACAACGTTGTCAAAACGATCCCCGTTCACACGGATCCGCGAAAACGACTAAAAACACGGTGTTGTTCTGCTGCCAGGCCAGTAGTTGGCGATGTCACTTTGTAAAGAAACACTACAGACTGAACACGTAACCCATTGAGTCGGTCCAGATCCGGCCCACATCTGGACCGTGTGGATTCCCAGCCTGTTCTCACGTAAATGCGTCTCTATAAGCACGCATTGTGTATTATCGTGCAATTTATACGCGAAAATGAGTTTTTACGTGCATATGATACGCAGTTTTCCCGTGCATTTGATACGTAGTTCATTTGCGTGTAATACACACGCACCCCACACCACTAATTCTACCTAAACGTTAGGGGTGGGCGCTATACCGGTATGAACGTGAATACCGGTATTATGTTGTGCCATGATATGGATTTTGCGATACTGAGGATACCGTATTCATAAATTCAAATTTTGCAGTTATATTGTTTTGTTCAATTTGGTAGCCAACTCTTTACAACTGTTAACACTAATGACGATACAGAATCGAATACACTGTTTAAGGAAATGGCTGATTTGGCGCTTCATGCGTGAAGTTGCTGAGGCGATTAACCGCTGTCCTGTGACGCGTTCAATGAAGGACCGTAACGTAGAACACATCGCTAGTGCTAAGCTGCTGTTCATAAAGGATGCATCTTTTGCGGTGGAATGGGAAATAACAAGGTAATGAGACGCAAGTTCGACTTTTAACTTGAGCGCAGCATTTTTAGAATGCCGTTTCATTTGCGAGACGCGGGTGCAACACCAAAACAAGTTCGTCAAGCACAAACAAACGTTAAAGTTTAAACGTTAAAGTACTGTATGTTTGAGATGTCATGTTTTCATGAAGGTTGAAAGCTGCTGTTATTATCTTTGTTTTTACAAAACATTTACTGCTAATAATATTATCCACGTGGAGACATTTCCCCGCAATGTAACGTTAGGCCATGAATAACAGGACACGACACACACATAAGCGCGCGCATACACACGACACACACATAAGCGCGCGCATACACACACACTGGTCCACTATCTTTGTGGGGACTCTCCATAGACGTAATGGGTTTTATACTGTACAAACTGTAGGCCTTTATTCTGTCTCCTTACACTAATGAATTAGTTTGTATGAAAATTTTCATTGTTTTTTTCTTACTTTTATAGTTTCTTATACTTTTAAGTTCTATTTATTTGGTGCTTTGTTTAATCTCAAACCATTATTTTATTTTTATTATTAAGATGTCTGCACAAGAGTTAACTGTAATCTGTGCAAACATTAAACTTAAATTAAACGTCTCGCTTTGGTCTACACTGGAAGTGTTCTGCTCGCTCTGCTAAAGCTAAACTATAATTACTAAAACTGAAACTAAATAAAATAAAAACTATATAGAAATGTGTTTGCAAAATAAAACTAAATAAAAACTAACAAAACCATTAATGAAACTAGCTAAAACTAAACTGAAATTTAAAGCAAAATTGAAAACGATATTAAAAGAAAAGCTAATTTAAAAAAGCAAAACTATAACAACAGATATTCCCGGAGACAGAGCACACCCGAAGACGGCTCTCACTCAGAAATCAATAAAGTCTTCATTCGCTGCCGGTTCTCATTATAACAAGACGAGCAAAAAGTGGAAAGACATAACAAGTGCATTCAGGCCTACCTCATGTTGCACGTTTGCACTTTTTGAGAAAAAAAAAGGCAAAAAAAAAAAAAAAAAACATTTCAGGTCTATGTCCAATGAAATGCCTCACCTGTTTCTAGTTATCTACTGTTAAAATACATATTTTGCCTGTAATTTAACTAAGGTGTACTAAAATGTGATTCCAATTTTTTTTCTCATATCGCGATATAATATCGATATCGTCCGGACAGTGAAAAATATCGTGGTATGAATTTTTGCTCATATCGCCCACCCCTACTAAACGTATAATACACACGCACCCCACACCACTACTAAACCTACCCTAACCAACCCATGCGTATCCTATGCACGTAAAAACTCATTTTCGCGTATAAATTACACGATAAACACACTGCGTGCTATAGAGACGCATTTAGTGTGATCGGGTTGGGATTCCACACGGTCCAGATGTGGGCCGGATCTGGACTGACACTATGTTGCTGTCTGGGAAACACACATGCACCTGACATCACCGTTTTCACAAATTCACATTTTTGTAGTTTACACGGAGACGAGAACGGTATCGTTTTCAAAAACTTGCATGGACTCGAGCCATAGATCACAGAGACTTGAGTAAACAACCAGCCTTTGCATTGGACACAAGATTCTTTGGCAAAAGGTTCTTTAGATTATAAAAAAAAAGTTATTTACTCAAAGAAAAAAATGGTTATTTTATGAACTATTATGAACCCAAAATTGTTCTTCTATTTTTGAAATCTATTTATTTTTAAGAGTGTAGGAATACCTTAGCATTGAATTTCCAGCTTCACCAACCACTAATATTTTCTTCAGAATCATGTTTCTAAAAATGTAGAAAAAAAAACAAAAAAAACATTTAAACACATTAAAGTGCCATTACCTAATTTATGCTGAGCATGGTTTTCATTTTTGCTTTAAAATTCATTTTGGATGTTTCTGGAGGGCAATGATTTAAAAAAAAGAAAATCACTAAAAGACAAATTTTCCTGTTTGAATCTAAGCCAAACTCTTTCCTCACACCAGCCAGGTTTTGCAGAGTGTGTTATCCTGATTGTGTAACCGAGTGTTTTGAATGACTAAGATGCACAACCATCTGCAGACAGGTGGACATCTTGTTTATTTTTGATAGTCATTGTAACTATGTATGAAGATTTCTAAAATCTTTCTTTTTTTGTGTGTTTTTCTCAGAAAAATGGGTTTGGAATGACACGTAGTGTCTAAAACCGCATTGTAATTTTGTGGTGAGCTCTAATGAAGGCGAGAGACGGCGTGGGTCGATTGCTCAGGACGCAGGAGGTCAAGGTGTTTGAAACGGGTGCGTCAGCTCATCGGGCTGTATCGCTGTCTGGCCTTCTCATCCCACACCATCATTACGTAAGAGCATCCTCATCACCAAAGATTTCAGTCACAACACATTAATCACAATGCTTTACCTGAACTTCACACCGTAAGGTCACCAAGACAAGGCCTTTAGAGAATGTCACTTACAAAGTGAATGAACCAGCTGCGCCAAAATAAACTACTACGACTAAACAATATATAAATCAATGTCAGAACGCCACTGGATAACATATCAAAGTGTCTTTTATTTTAAAGAAAGAAACGCAAGCACACTTTTGAAGCCGAATGTGCATTTAAAGTCGTAGACATGTAATGTTTAAACGGATGAATATCAATCAGAAATAACTTTTCTGACCTTATTAACTGAAAGTTTCAATAAAGAAGAGGGATATATTTAAAGAGTTGTTCCCATGCAGACTATAAATCAATGCAAACAGCCCATAAAACACACAGACACAGGACAAACAGAAGCTGTTCTTGAGATTGTTACCAGCGATAAACACACGGACAACAGCAAATGATTTTCAGTGTGTGTTTGCTTTCCTCTGTGAATGCAGGCAGGATGATGAAGAAGAAACACGGCAATGAGCCACGAGAGGTTGCGCATTATTAGTGATTTTACCACTTTAGGTTATTTACGGTTTATAGGCAACATACTGTTAGCCTGGTTCTACCAGACTCTCGTACATTTCATTTGTACAGAGAGTCTGGCCTCGCTCCATTGAGAAACGTTTACTTCCTTGTAGGCGGGTTCTCTGTTAAAGTTCAAAACTATTGGATCTGCCCAGCGTCACTCAGGATCTGCCATAGCCAATCGCTAACGTGTGGTCGTGACGTATGTCATGCGCCGAAACCGGCTGGAAACAACAAGTCCGAATTCCATATTCATAAATCTAAATATCTAAATGCTAAACCTCTCTTTCTTATATTTGTGAAAGAATTTTAAAAATACCTCTTTTCAATTAAGTTGTCTGAGAACAAAAAAAGCCTTAAAAACATTATCTGTTTGTAATTATTTTCCTTTTTTCAGTGTCATGTAATTCTCTTAACTTGTTCATGTTTATTTTATATTATCCCCCTACTGTTTTATTTTTGTTTTTATTATTATTTTTTGTTTGTTTTTGTATTATGTTTTCTGTTATTACTTGTGTATTGTTTTAAGCAATAAAAAAAAACAAGTCCGAATGATCAGAGGATTATGTTTAGAATAAGATGTCTGTCAACGAGAGCTGCATGTTTTGTTCATCGAATTTAAGAGTTCAAGGAACAATTCTAAATTCTAAATGTATATTTGACACTAAGGACAGTGATGTATTCAGTCAACTGTCGAAGCTGGGTGTAATCATTAACAATACGCCGCTGCGGTCGTTTCGGATCTGCCGCAAATGCTGTACAGTGATCATCGTGCACGCCGAGCTGCCCAGCACCAACTCCTAACCTTTCTGCCTCCCTCACTTGGTCCTCCATTAGTGCAACAAGAGGAGACGACAACAACTATCGGCTTTGCATCCTATCGTTCGCCTTAGCTAACTCATTGACATTCACCACTAGCGGAGTGAGCTGGAAAATTAAACTTTTCCCGAACCCCGTGGGGAGGAGGGCCACAACATCATGGCCACCAACAACACTTAGCAAACATTGATCTTGCTCCGGCTTTAACTTCTGGATATTCGGCAGTTTTGCAACAACGGACCGAATAGATTTTCTCACGTCTTTCTCCGCTGCCATTACTGAACTCCAACTCAAACTGACGCGCTACATCAACGTCATCGTTCTCAGCCACTCCCTCTGTTCGCTGATTGGACCGGTAAAAAAATTATTTCTGGAAACCAAAGTCTACAGCACAATCCCAGACGTAGTACTGAAGGAAAATAAAATTGAGCGGAAGTGCGTAGGAGGGCGGAGCCAGGCTAACATACTGTAGCAACTTGCCTCAATATTAATGTGTGGTTAAAGATGTGTAATCACGCATATACATATATATGTATATACACTGAACAAAATTATAAATGCAACACTTTTGTTTTTGCCCCCATTTTTCATGAGCTGAACTCAAAGAACTTTTTCTATGTACACAAAAGGCCTATTTCTCTCAAATATTGTTCACGAATCTGTCTAAAACTGTGTTAGTAAGAACTTCTCCTCTGCCGAGATCATCCATCCACCTCACAGGTCTGGCATATCAAGATGCTGATTAGCCAGCATGATTATTGCACAGGTGTGCCTTAGGCTGTCCTAGCGTAAAGAGTTTTTGTTTCTTGATATGTTGTTTTGGTTGCTTGATATGTTGTAGTGCGGCAGAGAGGACTGACTGTACCTACACCAGTGCTGTTTATTAACTCTACAAGCTTTGAAAAGTACAGAGAGAAACAAGGAGATTCCGAGAGATAAACTAATTGAATCGGTGAGTAATCCTTCTCCTTGAAAATGTCAGGTGTTCTTTTGTGCTCGAGTGTGTGTGGGATTAACATTGCACCCGGTCAACCCTTACTGAACTGCAATTACAAGAACCTTTACACACACACACACCAAAGAGTCATAAATTACACCAAACCTTGAACACACAGAGCTTCAGAAAGGTTAGCTCACGCGAGTAGGGATGTGCCCGAAGCCTAAATCCGAATTCGGAAAGGCACGGAAAATGAGTAACACGTTCTACGGAGCCCCTAAAGGGACATGGTGAGGCTTGCTGTGGTAGTCAGTCACATTACAGTACATCAGATTTCACTGATTGCGTGACAAGAGTAAAGAGAGATGACTGACTGGACGATGGCGGAGGATTTGGTGCGCAGCAGATCCTGAGCGACATTGACAAATATCATAGACAAAAATAGACAAATATCTTATCTGGTAAAATATCTTATCTTTATCATTACCGCCACTCCCTATAAAATAAATGCTTGTAAAACAAGACTAGACTTCTGCAGTCTCTTTCTCTTTTTGTTTATCAATTTGTTTACTAAAAAATGTAAGCTAGTCTAAACCTGAGGTGCGTTCTAATTCGCGTACTTGTGCACTATTCTACGTTTCGTAGTTTACATAGTGAGTATTGTTTTCACACTGACAATTCCAAAGAGAAAAAGTGCACTTTAAATACCCGGAAGATGCACTTAAGTTAACCCGGAAAAAAACAAAAACAAAGTGTGGAATGTAAAACACTCAACTGTCGCTGCTTTAGTTACGTAGCAAAGGGGAGGATATCATGACAAAATAACTTTATAAAGTTCATACTCTACTCGATTGAGTACATAGTGTATATAATTAATCATTTAGGACACAACTTTGGATTTGACAGCATGCTTGCATTTAAAATCTGACTGACTACTATGACATCACTCTAGCATGCATTCCGAGCCTATTTGCATACTGAACTGTGATTGGTCTTTTGTCATTTGCATCCATTTAACCTCTATATCTCTACATTTACTCAGAAAAGGTGGTGCCACGTTGTGTTATGATGCTCTTCATCGGCAACAGAAAACACGGCAGAAAAAAACAAGACACAAAATGCCATACAAGCACTTCTTTGCTCAAATAAATACAAAATAATAATAATTCATTTGCATGAACTGTGAAGCAAACCAGTTCACTTAGCCTAAGAGAGAGAGAGAGAGAGAGAGAGAGAGAGAGAGAGAGAGAGAGAGAGAGAGAGAGAGAGAGAGAGAGAGAGAGAGAGAGAGAGAGAGAGAGAGAGAGAGAGAGAGAGAGAGAGAGAGAGAGAGTATTTGGCACACTGCATTACCATGTGAAGCTACTACTCTGCAACTCATTAAATAAGCAGCTTTTTATTGGAAAATCTACCTTTTTGAAAATAGCTGAGCTGCTGGATTGCTACCGAAAAATGTGATAAAGTGAGAAGCCCTGGAGTTTTTAATTACTCACTCCTCAAGATTTAATTCACTCAGAACCAAAGCCTAAAACCTAAAATGACCTGAAACTTTAACTGCTTTTTCCAGGGTTTTTTCTGCTAATGCAAATGTACTTCTCTTTGTCCACTAGACTAGAGGAATCAACACGGTTTCTGTTCAGCGCAAGGCCACTCTGAACACAAGAAGCAATGACCAATCTAATGATAAAACCTGGTTTTAATGAGAGATGTGTGCGGATGGAGGCAGCCTTCACTCTCACTGTGTGAGGACTCAGAAAACACATGCGTAATCCATCATCTGAATGGCCCAGCGTGCTCATCTTATGAATACACTCAAAACGCAAGTGTTGACCCCGGCCTCCTATGATACTCAATAGATCAGAGTTTAAAAGCAGTTTCAGAATGTATGCCCGAATCATCTACTTTCTGTTCAGCCGGGGGGAAAAAAACGCTAAAGTCTCTTTCGCTCAAGCATGTAGGGAACAGATGATGGTTGTTAAATTTGACATTTGCTTACAAAGTCTGTAGGCGTCAAACCTGCGTCTGCAAAGCATCTGACTGATGTTCAGCTTGATAAACTGTGTGTGCTCAAGGAATAGGCTAATGCGGCAAAATATTTAAGTTCTGTCACGATGTGCCGCACCAGGTTTGGCATCAGTCAGGTTATCCAGCAATGCTTTTTACATATCTCAAATGAGGCAACAAGCCAATATTTAGTCTTAGGGAGCTGGTTTTGTAGTTAAAATGACAGTTATATGAACGTCTTTTCAAATGTAAATTTTAATTCCAAATTGCCTCAATTCAAAATCACAAATGGAATCAGAATTTAAAGGCATTCTCAATTCAGTTCCATTTGGAACCCTGCTAGAAACCACATAGCAACTAGAAGCCACTCCACCTTAGCAACACCCTGGCGACCAGTTTTCTTTTCAAAATGCCCTTAAAAACCCACTGGACGTGTAATTGTATGATTCTGTCTGTTTGCTGATGTTGTAAGTATCTACAATATGCATGCTTTTGAAAACATTCTCTGAACATCATTCTTTGAACTAAAATAAAGAAATAAGGTCAATCTGCTTAGTAATAGCCTACGTGAAGCTGTTTGTGGAGTTGTTTAGATGAGATCTTGAGATTCAGGGTATGTTTACACGACAACGATATGCTTCAAACGGAGAAGTTTTGCTTCAAACGATATGCTTCAAACGGAGAGTTTTCTGCGTACAGATGAAACCATTATCAAAACGATCCGTGAAAACGATTAAAAACTCTGTATTTTGCTGCCAGGGCATTAGGTGGCGATGAAACACTATAGACCAGTGGTCTCAAACTCGCGGCCCGCGGGGTGATATTTTGTGGCCCCCTACTTGACTTTAAAGTTTAATGTTAGTGCGCCCCGTCGTTGCGTGTGCCGCGTTTTTTTTTTTTTTTTTTTATCCCTTATGGGCTACCATAGATAGTCTCGTGACAGCTTACGGGTGGGTTTGTTGTCAATAGTTGTCATAGACAACCGCGAAGTACAAACATACGTACTGCGCCTGGAAAAAATGAGCGCGTCGCTTCAATTATGAGCCCGCTTGCCGCGCGCCTACATTTGAAATAACGAACTTGAGCGCGCAAAATATGTGAGCGCGATATGTGAACGGCCCCTTGGCGAGCTACCACCAATCAGGCCTCGAGCTACTGGTAGCTCACGAGCGACGTGTTGGAGACCCCTGCTCTAAAACAATGTGAGAGTAAGTTAATAATTTTGAGCTTGTAATACGTGGCCAACAGGTTGATAAGAAGGTTTGCTTTGATTTGTGCAGTCAGTAATTTGCCTGAGACACTATACATGTGTAGAAAGAACTCAATAAGACGGGCAGACATGACTGCAAATATTTGTATTTCAAAAGCAATAATTGTTTTTCTAAGTATAATAAAAGGAAATGTGCCTTCCAAAAAAACATTCAATATCATATTGAAAATAAAAAGGACATGAGCAAATATAAGAATCACAAAGATGTTGTGTATAAGGAAAAGACAAAGAAAGTTTGTAAAATGAACTTCAACTGTCAGAAGGACAGCTCATGAAGAACCAATCATGTACAGAAATGAATGTTCAAATTCAGAGGAACAGTTCAGAAGAAACGTTAATAATAAAGATTGAGAAGATTGGATCAGTTGTGCTCCTTTTTTGGTATACTTGAATACTATTTTTTTGTGGAATACTTGATGCGGCCCAGCCTGACCCCGACTCTACCTCCAGCGGCCCCCAGTTAAGTTGAGTTTGAGACCCCTGCTATAGACTGAACACGTAATACACGTGTATGACGTCATCGTCTTCAGAGATCTGCGTTTTTGTTGTTTACTCGAAGACCGTTTTCAAAAACTTGCACTTTGAAACCAGTTTTCAAAAGTTTGATTTTTCATGCCCCCAAAACGCTGTTGTGTAAATGAACGGCCAAAACGCATAAAAAGTTTTACATTTTTAGTTGAAAATGGTGTCGTGTAAACAGCCCCTTAATGTCTTCTTTTATCTTCAGTTATTTGTGGCTGAAGTCAGTTGTATTTTCTGTTCTTGTTGTTTCTCTTTTCTTCAGTGATTCTGCTTGTTAACATCAGGTGTTTGAATGACTGACAGAATGTTTGAGGAACATCATACTAACCTTTATATGAAATTCTATTAACATTAAGGAAACTGACATTTTTATGTTCTCGGACTGTTACAAATCAACATTCCTAGAATGTCGAGTTGATAATAAAAATAACCTTTTCAAAAAAACACATAACCTTTTCAAAAAAAAAAAACCTTTTCAAAAAAAAAAAACGTCCCTCTAACATTAAGAAAACTGAGCATTTTAACATTTACATAACCAAACCTAAATGATCTGGAAAAAATTCTTAGAACAAAAACATTGTTCTGCACAAAACAAATGAATCATTTGGGACTCTCCCGATCAGTGTAAATGGTAGAAAAACATTCCAGAGCTGGATAACCTTGTCATGAAAGCCTCTTTAATGCTGCACTGTTGTCACAAGGAGGGATTTTGTAAGCGTTAGAGGCAGTAAAACCAAAACTATAACAGTTCAGTTCTGTGCTTTGCTTTGCTGTCAAGCATTGTACCAAAACACTCAAGGAAAGAAAATGTGTTTGCCGTAGCGTGATTATTGACACTTTGCATTAGTGTTTCTAGTTTCTCTATACTCACATCACTGCGTGACTATGGCTCTTATCTATAGTGACAATAAGAGTTTCAAAACACCCCTTAAGTACACTGTCAGGGTTACACAACTGAAGAAAAACCAAAGGTAAAACAACAACGAAAGAATGAAGCTTTTGTCACATAGGCTGACATGCCTGTCCTAAATATTGGTCTTGGTGTGACCAGAACACATACTGATATAATTACAGGTCACCGCTACATATATAAGAAGAACCAGCAGCAAACCAGTAAGGAATCTCCAGCAAAGCATCTTCCCAACACATCCTCTGGTAAGGCTAGTGATGACACTTCTCTTATTTGAACATTTGATATTTAAAACATGATTAATTTGGTCTGACTGGGTGTCCTCACGTATAGCTTTTAATGGCTTAACTTCATTTGTTTTGATTCGGGGAGGTTTATATGTAACTTATATAAACCTCCCCGAATCAAAACATACTTTCTTTTTAGATGGTCTCTGCATCTTAAAAAAGATTCGGAGTGCTAATGTCAGTTGGAGCTCGCTTTTAAAGTGTTTTCTCTCCTCAAAGTGACTAAAAATTTAGGCTGAAAGTGGAAATCGTCAGGGGCTGATAGTGAAGCAGTTGTCTTGCTTCTTTCTCTCCTTATAAATGTGTCTCACGTCTGCTGGCACATAAACATCTGCCCACCTGCTACCAAAGCTCAGCGTGGCTTTCCTTTTATCTCCTCTCAGACACACTCAGGACAACCCTTGCCTTTTCTGGGCTTGATTTGCCTGAGAACAAATGATAGGGAGAAACGGGAATAAACTGAAAATGTTGATGTCATTTTTAATTTGAGTCATTTTTGGGGACATTTTATATTTTTTCTTAAAATTTCTGTCGTTTGCGTGACACTAACTTAATTGCAACAACAATTGGTTTCCAGTATTTTACTGAAGTATGATTTAGCATAGGCCACCTTTTCCGAATCTTATTTCAGAGAGAAAAAATGTAGGAAAGGACTTGATTTTTAAAGCCCGTTCACACCAAGAATGATAACTGTAAAGATAACTATAACGATAATTATATTAGCCAGCGCATGATATGTTCTTTTCATTATAAGCACGCACTGCAGTTTTGTCTGTCGCTTTAAATGCTCGAGATCGTTACGGCAGGATGGATTCTGATTGGCCGTCAATTGTTCAAAAATTGTTCTGATTTCAACAATGTAATTTCTCTGTGCCCTTATCGTTATAGTTGTTGTGTGGAATTGCTATTCTTTTATATTTACAATGATAACTATATCTTTATATGATTTTTATAACTTTATCTTTACTATATCAGCATCCACACACAAACGGATGATAACATTGTTTATTATAAGCGCTCACTGCAGTTGTGGCAGCTGCTCCTTTAAATGACATTATAGTCATTCTGGAGTGCGTTTCCTGAAAGCATCGTTATCCAACTATGATCACAATTTCCATTGAACTCTATTGGTAACGACGGAACTTGGCTTTGGGAAAAGCACCCCTGATTGGTTGTCAGTGTTTTTTATCGTTCATCAGCTGGAAAAAAACGTTCAGAAAATGATTCACATGATAGTAGCTGTTTTGTGACCTCCACTATTCTCTTAGAATGATTATTAAAACTTTAGCCATAGTTATCATTAGTTATTGTCCTTGTGAATTAAGAATGGTCTTTAAATTATAAAATCAATCGATTTTTAAAAATAGTTAAAATAATACTTAAATAGCTATTTGCTATTAGCATCATCCAAAAAACTGTAAGTGGAAAAGTATTGTTTTTTTGGAAGCTTATTGTTAAAGATTATATGAATTTCTGTATTTATTGATTGTGCTGTGCATCAAACAACACAATCAATAAATAGTTAAAATAATTACTTAAATAGCTATTTGCTATTAGTTAGCATTATCCAAAAGCCTGTATGTGGAAAAGTATCGTTTTTTGCAAGCTTGCTGTTAAAAATTATATGAATTTCTGTATTTATTGATTGTGTTGTTTGATGCACAGCGTTCTCCCAGTGAAGATGTTGGCGGCGTTGGCTCTGGTTCTGCTGGTGTCCAGTGCGACGGAGGGACGGATTCTCAGTAAATGTGAGCTGAAGGCACAACTCGAGGCGGCTCAGATTCAGGTGACTGAAGCCATGGGAGACAAAACAACCGTGGACAAATTCATCGCTAGACGTGAGTAACCCTTTCTGCTCTAAAAATGACCAAAAATAATCACAACACCACCTTAATTTGAATAAATGTGTACAATGTCATTCATATGAAATCGCCAACTGGTAAAATAGATACTTTTTCCTCTGAGATGGGGTTGAAAATCGCTAAGAAAATGTCTGTACCCAATAGACATTCAAAAGATTGTCTGAGGAAAAAGGGCCAAATTTGCCATTTTCACTGAAAATCTCTCAAACCCCATTCATATTTTTACATTCAAGTGTCCGCCAAATTATTTCCTTCTCTTTCTTTCAGTTGTTTGTAATGTGGAAAACATTTCCGGCTTCAACACCAGCCTCGTCACCAGCGTCCAGATCAACCAAGATGAGATCAGACCCCCGTTCCAAATTCCTCCCAAACCAAAAGACGAAAAAACACCAGCAAAGGAAGACAATGATGAGAAATTGGAAGAAGAACACATAATCCCTGTTCAACCACAAAGTCATCCCAAGGGAAGACGTGGAAGATCTGTCCCTGAGGGCAAGACCTTTGAGAAACAGGGAGCAAAGGAGGTTTTCTGGGCATGGCACCGTGATCTGTTCCCGGAAAAGGTCCCCGCCGACTCGTCTGGAAGCGGCTCAGAGGCGACGTCCGAGGAGGACAGCTCCGGAGACAGCTCAGAGGAGGAGGAACGGGAAGATGTCGTCGCATGGAGCCCGTTGGGAATCTTCCAGCTGAGCGATCGCGTTGCTTGTGACTCCGGATTGAGTGGATCGCTAAACCTTTGTGGTCTGGAGTGCAGTGGTGAGTGGAGAACAAATATTCCCAAATTCCTAAACAAATATATATAGATATACTGTATACATATATATATATAGACTCTAGATGGCGCAGGCTAAAAGGTCCTCTGTAGGGCACAGCTGATTGGTTCCTGCTGTATCAGTAGCCAATGAGCTCGCTGCTAAACCTTTAAATACTTGGTCAGCATTTGCTGTTGCAGTTTGCAGTGCACTTTCAGAAACCCTCCTCCTTCCCCAGCTCCACCTGTATAGATCTGCTACGGGTAACTCATGTACATTATATTGTACAGCAGCAGCATGTCTTACTTGCTCACAGCAGCGTGTCGTGTGTGTATCGGCAGTAGCAAGTCCCGTACTTGCTCAGCAGCGACAGCAATAAAAGCAGGGGCCGGTTTCACACAGATAGACTTTGACTACGGCTTAGATATAGTAGATAGTCAGACTTCAGATAGACATCTATATCAGACCGTTGCACAAAGCACTCAAGACTCTGACTATCTTAAAGTAGGACTACACTGCAATGCATTCTGGGTAAAATAAGACACTTTTTAAAACAAAAAACATGGCGGATCGAGTGAGCGCATTCAACCGCTCAGTGCAGTTTACCCCAGTTTAAATATGTGTTTGTTGGAGGAATATAACAGTTACAAGGACATTTTACTTGGGAAATTTAGCGGAGAATGCAGTAACAAGAAGAAATGTTTAATTTGGAAAAAGATTATGGCCTATGTTTGCTTTTGGCTGTTTGTAATGTAACTGACTGTTACTGCTGGTTGCCAAGGTAACAGAGTCTTAGACCTAAGTTAGCCTAAGGTGTCTAATTGTTTTGGTCTAAATTAAGTCAGTCTTTGTTTTTGTGAACCAGTCTAACTTGCATTAGGCTCGTCTATGAGCAACTTTTAGACTTGTCTAACACTATAGACCGGTCTAAAATAGCTTTGTGAAACCGGCCCCATGTCTTCCTGTCTTTCTTTTACCTTGACAGCTCTCATCAATGATGACATCACCGATGACATCGCTTGCTTGGAGACTTTGGCGGGAAGTCGCGGCAAGCTGTAAGTTTCACACATGCAAAAGCAAGTGCACAAATGCACATACGATCAGTTGCAGATTCAACCCAAATATCTTGTTTCTAGCAGTGGCTTCAATCCCAAGAAGAGATTCCTGGCTAAGATGTGAGTATGAACACCGGTCCGTAACTGTTCCTGTGATTGAGCTCCAGCGCTGAGCTACACGTGTGTTTATGTGCTTCAGGTTGGCAATGGAGCTGGTGAAGGAGTGTCGCTCTGTCGTTCCTTCTAAGTATTTCGCTGAGTGCGCTTAAAACATCCCGACGGATGAAGCTTCTCCATCCGACGGCTGGAACGACCATCTTCACCGCTGAGGCCGTTTTTCAATCACATGCAAGGAGACTCAACGGTTACTATTTCACACACTTAAAGACCCAATGAATTCAAAATTGTACCTTTAGGGGCTTTTAGATCATTTATATGTTAATGTACCTGAGAAAAGCTGAGAAAATTTAATTTGAGGTTATTATTATTCTCTGGGAAAATAGGTTTATCCATATTTTTGTCTAATAAAATGCTCTATAGAAAGAAAATATCCCACCCCCTAAAATATACATAAAAGGCTTGTTTATGACATGAAATAGCTTTTTTAGCCAGATTCAAACTAAAAAAAAACAAGCCAATTCTTGAGCTCTTTAAGTTTTTATCGTCTCAATGTTAGATGAGTTCATTGTAAATGGTTAAAAAGAAAATCTGGGGTCAGTAAGATTACAGTTTTATTCAGCAAGGATGCAATAAATTAATCAAAAGTGACAGTAAAGACATTTATAATGTTACAGAACATTTCTATTTCAAACAAATGCTGTTCTCCATAAATCCTGAAAAAAAATGTATCACTGTTTTCACAAAAATATGAGGCAGCACAACTCTTTTCAACATTGATAATGATCATAAATGTTACTTGAGCATCAAATCATCATATTAGAGTGATTTCTGAAGGATCATGTGACACTGAAGACTGGAGTCATGATGCTGAAAATTCAGCTTTGATGACAGGAATAAATTACATTTTACAATATAATCAAATAGAAAACAGTTATTGTAAATTGTAATAATATTTCACATTATTACTGTTTTTACCATATTTTTATCAGCCTTGGTGAACATAAGGGACCTGACCCCAAACTTTTGAACGATCTTTAGTTCATCTCTGATGTATTTGTCAAACAAAATGTCTGCTAGGATAATAAATATATTTGGACTCCATGATGAAGGACGTGTTCCTATAACCTGTAGTTTTGTAGGGGTGTTTTTAAAAGCCACTGTGAAGACCGTAAACCACCAACAGGATAAGCAACTGTCTTTAATGTACTGTCACTAAAAGTTGCAATCTAATGTCAAAAGTAACAAACCTCAGGCTCAAGTTGTTCTTTTTTAAAATCTCAGATATGACCACTTTTTCTTTTCACCATAACCACATTTTGTGTGTGTGTGCATGAAAGCAGAAGACAAAGAGTCTGTTGTCCATGTGCGACGCAGATCAATAACTCTCTGAAACCACAGAATCCGCTGCTTTGACTTCATCTATTGAGGTAGACTAAGAATCATTTCACACACAAAACCATCAAACCATTTCATTCGCAACGAGCCCCGAGCGCTGTAATGACCCCGCAATTTTCTCTGTGGTTCTCGAGTGGCCCATGGACGACCAAAGGCTGACCGCTCGCTCTCGGGTCACTCGACAAAGGTATTGGGCCGTAATGAGAAGCAGGGTTAGACCTGGAAAACCTTATAAGGAAGAAATCGAAAAGCAGTGAAATGGAAAATACCAAATGAAAGGTTAATAATTCAGGATTGTTTCTCGGAGCCCATTTTGCATCATATTCAGGTTGAACAGAATCCAATAAATCAGTGGCGTATTTCATATATTTTCAGATTAGGATATTTTGTTTTTAAAAAAAGAAAAGGAATTGAATCCGTCAAACAAGTCGTTTGAAAAATAACCAATTTTGATTGAAAAATAACATGAATTTGCTTTAAACTAACAAATGCAGCTCTTACAGTAAATTCCCTTAGAGACAAAAATGAGAAACTTTATTTGGTTGGAAGAGTGCGAGGTATTAACAGGGAGACGAGCTTAAAAGCTATATGACATTTGAGAAGCCGTGGGTGTGAGCTGTCGTCATCACACCCCTGCCGGCTCAACAAACCTCACCACAATCAAGAAACAAGAGAAATTCACTTAAAAAAACCACACTTTGTGAGAAGAAACACAAATGTGTGCTTTAATTCTTAGCCTGAAGCATGAACACAAGTCAAAACACCGGCTACATAATTTACACAGACACTAATGCTGGGCTGCTTTATTTTTTAGGCATTTCTAGTGAAAAGACTATGACTAAACATCCAAGAAATAATGGTGTTCTTACTCACTCAGTGTAATTATAGACGTCGAGGGATTTTTTTTCTGTTAACCAAAGAAAAATCACTATTGGATGTTTGTTCTATAACAGGGACAAACATTTATATTTAGTCATTTAGAAACACTTTTATTAAAAGTAAGTTTTACAAGAGTCTACAACACATGTAGTACAGAAAAGAGAGAGAGAGGTATATAGGACGTGTCTTTTTCATAATTCATAAGTGCATATTTCTGATAGAATGCAATGCATTAGAAACTACATGAAGAAATTAAGGAACATTTTTACTTTTTTATAGCATGTTAAAGTGAAATGTGATTAATGTAACTGTGATGGCAAGCAAAACGGCAATATTCTGATGAGAAAATAAACATTTAAAGTCCCCCTGTGGTGAAAAATCAAGCTTTTAAAGTCCCCATGAATTCAAAATTGACCAAACTTACTTTGTTTGCCTAAATTGATCGTTTTGTGGTGAACAATTCATCCATGCAAGTCAATCCACACAAAACATTTTTTTGGCTTCGTAATCTTTAATCAAAATCTGAAATTTCCCCTCCCCTCTGCGTTGGAGGACCTTGCCTGATGACGTAGGTTTGACGGTTTGGGCGTCTTCTTAACATCCGTAATCACGCCCCTCCAACTGACAGTAGACAGGCTGAATGAAAACACCTACTTTTCTAGATCCAATCAGGTGCTAGTTGGGAAAAAAGCCACGCCCACCATTTTGCCTCATTTAGTATTCCGTTTCTCTCGGAAATACGTCACAACACTGGAGAAAAGTCGTTTGCAACTTCCGGTTCACGGGGACTTTAATGTTGTTTATATGTCTATGTGGTGTTTTTAATGTGCTTTAAGACAAACCATGAGTAAATTCATAAGTCGACAGCATTGCTGAGTATTTTCTGCTTAAAACTGCAGTGAACCAAAGACAGTCTCAAAAACACGGTTTGAAATCGCTGGTGTTTCTGACGTCACACGTTTCCTTGTAATCAATCAGATCAACGTGTGATCGTCAACGAGTGGATCTCTGAGCTGAGTGAGTGAGTGGAGGCGGGGCTCATTTGCATATTAATAGAACCGTGCATACTAAATGAGGCAAGGGTGTCGAGTTATATTCAAGCTATTTTAAGGCATGAAGACATTTTTTTCAAGGATTTTTTTTACATATGTAATTTTGGTGATCAAAGATTAATTATAAGGCATACAAGTATTGACTACAGGGGGACTTCAAGGTTATGAAAGGTTTTGTTTTTCATTTCATCATGAATTCTTCTTGAATTTAATTTAATTGATTTCACAATGAACAGATTTATGCTGATTTTATGCAATTTGAAGAAAAGCTTTTTGGAAATATTATTTACACAGTAAAATAGATGCAAATAGTTAATAATAAACTGTTCTCTTATTTATGTAGGCTATGACTGACAAATATGCATTAAGTTTATTCGTCTGTTAAAACTGTGTAATCCAAATGGTATGCAATTCAAATACATAAATCTTAAAAATTAGGCCTAAATATTTTTTCAAGTGCCTGACCCACCTGATATGCCCACGTCTATATGCATGAATAATCTCCTTCTCTATCTCAGAAAACTTATTCGGCTGTTAGTGGAATTGACCAATTAGACCACATCGCTGTCCCTTCAGGCCTCCCTGATGTGCATTCAAGCGAAGAGAGCTGGAAATTATTATTTTTTTGCATATTTCTGCACATCTTAATCTGAAAAACTTCATCAGCCAGAAGCGAAGGTCTCGATCACAGATCTCCCACCCAGAGCGTGTCACACATAAACTCGTCATTCTGAGACCCATTATCATCCACTGTGTGATTGAAATGAATAGAGATTGGCTTAACTGCAGTCGCTCAAAGACATTAGCGCCTGGCGGGATCCTTTAGCTCACTGAATATTGAGTCTTATCATCTCATAATTTAAGGTGAGAAACAATGGATGTGCCTCTGTGACCCTTTACATCTGATTACAGCGTGACTCTTGATTAAAGTTATATATGTTTAGGCTATATTATGTATTGTTGTATTAAATGTTTGTGTATTTACACTATAATAGTGATATTTAATGATATAGTTATTAAATGTAAAATATACAGTCCTGAATCATGACACCTGCAACGTTTTCATTGTATTTTTAAGGTAAACTGGCCGCCAAAGCTGCCAATTTTACCGCTAAATAAATTAAATGTCCAGTGTATCATCCAATATCTCATTTCATGTCTTCATCAAGTCCAATAAAGGACCAAAACTGCAGGGCTGTCGTTCCTCCGTCCAATTAATCCGCAGGGAAATTATCAAAGAAGACGCGGGGAAAATATGATAAACGGTGGACGTGTGATTAAAAATTGGACGAGCACAGGTTGTTAAGCTTGTTAAATGTGTGCATTTGTGTGTGTCCGCTCTGTTCAGGTGTTTAAATGTATTACAGAATAAAAATAGACGCCAAATTGGCTGACGAAACCCCAGACAAACACACACACAGTGCTGAGAAAGTCATTAGAAGAACACACACACATTAGAGCAGTAAATGAGACTCTTGGGAAATTCCTGTAAAATGCATGAAAAAGGTGTGCCCAAACTCGTCAGTCGGGATAAATAAGGAAACAGATGTGATCAGTTGCTAGTTTTTAATGCTAACCTAATTTAAAGCTGCAGTCCGGCATTTTTCCTCTTTGTCGCCATCTCTGTTCGAAATCTGCAATTGCAGTCATTCGCGGAATTATCAACTTTACGTGAGTTGTAGTTCAACACCCTCGACACGGCACAGCGCGGATGAACACAGTGTTTGAGGAGAGTGTGCAGCTGTCAGTCACCGCGCCGATGTGGATATTGCCATTCAGAATCACAGATTATTCTTTTTGGAAGTATGACCAACATAAGAATTTTCACCGGGAAATGTCATCTGAACTAGTAAGAAACATTCACTTTTGTTCTGGTTCTGACATTGCAGTAAATCGCGCTGATTAAATCTAACAATTGCTTATAAGTTATCATTTCACGCAAAACCGTGCAAAGTAGCTATACTATGTTCTCTAATTGTTAATGTTAACAACGTCAGCAAGCAT